CTGATTATCCTTATTTTTTTATTTAAACTTTAATGAATCCTAAGATCTTTTTGTCAGTGTGTCCACGCCAGTAATAGTAATATTTGTGTCCAGTATTTATTTTCATGGCAACACCTCCAAAAGTCGTTTCAATAAATACAGCTATGTATGAATTCAGTTGCTTTCAGTTATGTATCAATTGAAGACACGATCCAGATCACACCCAGCCAGTCAGCCACTGGTAAGGGCTGTATCTTTTTCTTACAGTGTTCAAATAATTGAAAATATCGCAATGCATCACAATATTTAAGTATCGTGATGCATCGTGATAGAATCGCATCGTGGCATGTGAATCGTGATTCGAATCGAATCATGACTTCTTTGCCAATACCCACCCCTAACTACTGTAGCTGTAGTTGAGGCAGTCACCGTGGATGATGGGAATGACTCAAACCCTGAGCAACATGGATACTGCAATGGTGATATTGCAATATAGTAGTAATAATGTATGGTGACCCCCATACAAATATACACCTATTGAAAAACCGTGTTAACCTGCTATTTTTAGTGGGAAAGAGGCTTTAGATGTGCCTTTGGTTTAACACACCTGGATGAAGCATTTCGATGACTTACAGAGGAGCAACTCAGCTATTTGATCCAGGTGTGTCCAACCAAGGGTGAACTGAAAAGTTGCAGGATAGCGGCATTTAGGAACTGGAATTGCCCAGCTGTGATTTACACCCACAGCAGCTGACAAACCAGTTTACCTGAGTTATTTCTATTTTGCCTTTTTAACTTTATTTTTTAACCTTTTTTCTTGACTTAAGTTTTTTCCATCTTAATTTCCAGCAGGTAATCTATCATTCAAAGGCTCATCTAAATGGTCACATGCCAAAATCAGAGGTACAGCCATGTAGCAGGATCTTTGCTGAATGGATGGATATAGATCTTGTGCTTCTAGATCTCACTGAGGGACGACGGGGGGGCTGTATTTGTAAGGGGGGTGCAGGTGATCAGAATCCTGCCCTGTAAAGTGTTTAAGCTTTAGCAGCTAAAAGCTTCCTGTTACCACGCGTCTGTGTTCTGATTGGCTGCTCAGAGCTCCACCCACACACCTTTCCATCTTTATCTTTTTTTTTTCTCTCTCTGCTCAGGTGGCTCAGAAGGTGAAGCACTTCTTCAGGATGTACTCGGTGAACCGCCATAAGATGACCACGGTGACGCCTTCCTACCACGCCGAGAGCTACAGCCCCGATGACAACCGCTTTGACCTTCGACCTTTCCTCTACAACACGCGCTGGAGCTGGCAGTTCAGACGCATCGATCAGCAGGTAGGAAGCTGATGGGAGCTGGGTGTGGCTAACTTCAGAACACTTGGATCTAACGATTCTCCTTCCTGCAGGTTTCCCAGATACCATCAGCCGGCGCCGCTGGTTTGGACCAGAGGGGGTCGGTGTAAATCAGACTGTCCCAGGCTCTGCAGAGGACCCAACGGGAATTTTTTAATCTCAGATCCAGTTTGCCTAAAATATACGATGATGTTTCCATGGTGATGAGTACTTCCTGCTTGGTTAGCTGGACCAGAAAAGAACAATAAAGGCTTTTGGTTCTGATCTGTTGACTATGGGTCAGAATCAACTGGGTCTGGTCCGTCTTCCTGAGCTTCTGCGGAACTCCTGATCATCAACCTTATTCTCACTTATTCTCTTGACTAATTTAGTGAATCTAAACTAAGCTGCTGTGCAAAGAGACTGGAATGTGTTCAGGCTAATTCACAGTAGTGATCCAAAGGTGAATAAAACATGGGTTAAATCATTTTCATTGATTTATTTGATTAATCAGAAACCAATAACATTTAGTTAAATTATTCATCTTAAAAGAGCCTTCGGTCATATTTTGGTTATTAAATGT